TTCTAGCATAAATTACACTTTTAATTTCCTGACACCTATCAGAAGACATTGGAAACTACCACATTTTGGAAAGCAAACACCCCAACATAATCATATACATATTGAGTATTTTGAACATGTCATTTTTTTCCCACAAGTTTTTGAAAAATTGGAAAGAAAATGAAAACCTGACTAACACTATCACATTTTTGAAGACCTTTTGAGCAAAGAATTACACACCAAGAAGTCCAATTTACATTCTGGAGCACCAGGATAGTGGAAACACCCACAAAATGACCACATTTTGGAAAGCAAACACCCCAACATATATTCTATGAGGCATAATGAGTATATTGAATGTGTCATTTTTTTCCCATAGGCTTTTGAAAAATGTGGAAAGAAAACTTTTTTTTTTTACACAAAGTTGTCAATTTATAAGATATTTCTAAAAACACAGTATGGAGATAGAAAGAATTACACCCTAAAATACATTCTGCTACTCCTCCTGAGTATGGTGATACCACATGCGTGAGACTTTTTCACAGCTTAGCTAAACAAAGGGTGCACAGAAGATTACCTGTGGTTATAGTAAAGAAGTTGTCTGCAGAGGAGAGCAGTGGTCCAGGAAGCAAGCAGAGATATGGTCAGCAATAGCCAAACGAATAGTCCAGGCAGCGGGCAGGAACATAGTCCAAAAAAGTCCTGGTTCATTAGAGGCAGCAGGCAGAGATATGGTCAGCACAGCCAATGTACTGGTTCACGTAGCAGGCAGGAACATGGTCCATAAAAAGTCCCGGGTCATTACAGGCAGTGATATGTTCAGGACAGTATTGGTCCAGGCAGGAGGAAGGAACATCAGGCTTAGGGTCTTGGTCAGGTAGGACCTACCCACAGGGGTAGAGGCTTCGTCCCACCCAATCTCTTCGAAGACTCTGGACTAACAGACCCTGATCCAGGAATTAAAAAATCCCTGTGAAAACCAAAAACTGGTTTTCTCTACTCTGAAGCTCCTCACATATGTGAGACCCCTGTCTTATCTTGCATTCCACTACTACAGTAGCAGGGCAAAAGATCAGTTCAAGCGGCAGGCAAAAAACAGGACGAGGCCAGTGCAGGTGGAAGGCAGAAATGTGCTTTAGAAACAATCCAGACGGCAGGCAAAAGCATTGTCGGTAAACAGGCTAGGGTCAATGCAGGTGGAAGGCAGAAAAGTGGTTTAGAAACAATCCAGACGGCAGGCAGAGGGATCGTTGTTAAACAGGCAGGGTCAGTTAGCGTGGAAGGCAAAGGCATGGTCAATCAAGGCAGCAGGCAAATGATCAGCACGAATTTTAGAAACTGGGAAATGGCAGGCTGTTAAAAATAAGGGGAACTAATATTTTAGTGACGTGTGATAACGTCCGAAGCAGTCTCTGATGCATAGACCTGATTGGGAGGGACATTGGGGACAATGAACACTGATGTCTCTCCTAACTCATTTTCTGCTGCATACCCGTCATTTTTTTGGTCTCGGCTTCCTGATTCTGTGGGTAAAATGTTTTCTGGAAAATCTTGCTCATGAAGTCTGCTCACACAATCAGAGCGAATGTTTTCTGGGGGGATCCTTGCTGGTAGATCAGGGCAGTGATAATTCCTTCTATATATTTGAGGAATGTGGTTGGTCTTTCTGTTGACTTTTGATAGATGACAAACGCATTGTAAATGGCCAAATGGAAAAAATAAATTGCAACTTTTTTTATACCAGAATAGGGACTTTCTTGTTGACAAATAAGGCTTCAGCTTCTGATAATCTGATCATTTAAATCCACCCCCCCCCCCCCCCCCATGAACCGATTATAATCGTAGATACATTCAGGTTTTTAGATGGGACCGCGTCCTCCATGTATTTCCACCAAGGTGTCATTGTGGATGGTAGACAGAACGTAAACATCTCTCTTATCCCTCCATTTCATAGCCAACACTTCCTCGTTTCTCAGACTTGCGGCTTCCCCCCTTTGTAGCCTTGTGGTTACTAAACTTTGTGGGAAGCCCTTTCTGTTTTTTCAGGTGGTACCACAGGCTAAGGTTTTCTCACTGTACAGATGCCGGAAAAGGGGCAGACTGGTATAATAGTTATCAAGGTGGATGTGATAACCTTTTTGGAACAGTGGGAATGCCAGATCCCAAACAATTTTGCCACTTGTGCTGATGTAGGTTGGGCACTCAGGGGGCTGGAGCTGAGAATCTTTGCCTTTATACACGTGGCAGGCATGCACATATCCTGTAGCTCTTTGACAGAACTTGTGCAGCTTCAGTCCATACCTGGCCCTTTTACTGGGAATGTATTGCTTTAATCCCAGCCAGCCAGTGACGTGGACAAGGGATTCATCCACATAAATGTGTTGCTCAGGGACATAAAGTTCCCCAAATCTCTTAGCAAAAGAATTTATTAGGGGGAGGATTTTGTAAAGTTTGTCAGAGTTGGGATAATCTCAGGGATGGCACTGAGTTATCACTGAAATGCAGGAATCGCATGATCAGATCATAACGTGACCTGGACATTACACCAGAATAGATGGGCATATGATGGATGGGGTTGATGGACAAGTAGACATGCAATGTCCCATGTTAAACGTAAGGCCGAAAAACAATTTTAACTCCTCCACTGTGCGACGTCTCCATAGAAAAGGATAGGCATAGGATGTAGTAGGATTGTTATCAATATATTGCTGCGCAAAAAAGGTTTGTCTGGTCCACAATGTATTGAAGTAAATCGGCAGGGAAAAACAAATAAAAAAAACTATTTCAGAAACATTTTCACTATTGGTCTGCACACCTGGCTGTGTGGTGAAAGGGGGGATTGAAGCTGATCCTGAGCTGGAAGGCAGCCATAAAGGGTTTGCCAGGGTGTCAGGAAGATATGTTTGGGCCCTAATTCTTGGGGTCTGGTGGGATATTCCAATGCTGGTACTGGGCCTGTCATCCTAGGGTCTAGCACCATTGGTGTCTGCTGATGACCATTGGGGTGTATGGCACTGCTTGTGGTTGCTTGCTCTTCAGAGCACTGTATTCTTTTAGGAGGGACTGCTTCATCCTCCGATTCGGTTACTGATCCACTATTTTCTACTGGCTCGTATTCTGAATTGGAAACGGATGTCGAGAGCTCCCCACTGCTCTCATGTGACCTGCTGAGGATTTTGAGCACCTCCTCACAAGTAAAATATTTTTTGGACATTGTGGCTCTGGTGATTGTGGCTGTATGAGGGGTAAACTGCTGATGGATGGCTGTGATGGGTACACTGCTGATGGGCAGCAGCTGTGTTGACTCCATGAGTACATTGATTAGGCTGCAATGATTTCTGTGGTGACAGGCACACCAATGGGCTGCACTGATGAATGCACTAATAGGTACACTGATGGGCTGCACTGACAGATCCACTGATGGGGTGGCACTGACAGATCCACTGATGAGGATGCACTGATGGCGGCACTGACATATCCACTGATGGTGGCACTGACAGATCCACTGATGGATCCACTAATGGCTCCACTGACAGATCCACTGATGAGTCCACTGACAGATCTACTGATGGGCTGATCTGACAGATCCACTGATGGGCTGATCTGATAGATCCACTGGTGGAACTGACAGGGACTCTTTATTAGGGGCTCCAAGGTTTTGACTGCCTAGGGGCCTCCACAGAGTTTAATTCAGCACTGACATTTATTGAAACGTAATCACAGTACACTATAAGAGCTATTCCACAATGCTGGGCTTGTCACAAATTACCTTTATTTACTAAAAGTCCATTGAAAAAACTTCCATGATACCTTAAAATTCATGCTTGGTGAGAAAAAGAAAAATACAAGATACTGTGTGCGTAATTTAGATGGAGAGAGACAGAGAGAAAAAAAAAAAGAAGATATTTAATAATGACAGTGAGCCTATCCCCACAAGGTCCTTGCTAAACAGGTCAAAGGAAATTTACCAGCTGATAATTATAGCTTATAATTCACATGAATCATTTGAAAATACCCACATGATGAAAAGAAAAATATATACAGTCTGCCAAATGTACTGATCCTCACAAAAGGAAAAACAAAAGTTTTAGTGTTTATGGTGCCGTTATAAAATAATCAGTACCTAAGTATGGATTGTGATCCAGCAGAATGCAATTTGTATATTACAAAAGAAAACGTCATATGGTATTTTGAGTCGATACTGTTAATTATGTACAGCCTAGCAGTAGATGAGCAAGTTCAAGCAAGCCATGGCATAAGCCTGATAATAAACAAGTTCCGTGTACCTAAAACAATAGTTAGCATGTCCAATTATGTAGATTCTGTACTGAAGCAATGCAGGAAGCGTTTGTCTTTGTGGATTCTCACTATATTAATCACTGGGATTGCAGAAATACATAGCTGTCAAAGCCATCTCAGCTACATCATCAAAGAGATTTTCATTTTTAGTAACATACGGAATATATCCAAGTTCCCATTTATTACTATGGTCTTAATCTATTTTCATTATTTACTGTTGTTATTACCTCATTATTTCTATCATCTACAATAAGAAATATCTAGTTAATCAGGATGTACTTTCACTGGTTTATCATAATGAGTAAAGTTGCATTCTGTCCTCTAAAAATATATATATATTTCCTTTAAAGGCAATTTTTTAGCATACACAGTGCGATTAGCAAAAAAAAAAGTAATTCATTTAGGTTTTAAAGTGTATATCCACTTTTGTAGCCAAATCAGGATAACACCTACGTTATGCTTGTTATATTGTCCCATTACCATTGCATAACTTAAAAAGAAATATTTAAAAAAACTGCTGGTTACCTTTTTAAGTGCTTTCTACTTGCTTACAAATTGGAGAGATCACAATTTAACAATCACTGATATAGATAATGGCCCTATCTGAGTAATAAAACTGTTTTTTAAAATATTTTTTATTAAAAGTAAAATAGGGCAGCATAAAACTAGTGCGATCTTTGACACTGTTTTTGATCATCTAACACACCAATATCTGGTTTGATCAAGGGCGGACTGACCATTTGGAAACTCGGGCACTGCACAAGGGCCCGGGGTCAGTAGGGGGCCCCATGAGATGCCTCTGGTACCTTTTTCATAGGCTTTTTTGAGTTTGGGCAAGGACACAGGGGCCTCATGATCCCCTATTGCCCGGGGGCCCCATGAGTAGTCAGTCCGCCCCTGGGTTTGATGGATGTAGTAGCAGTTCTCAATGGATTGTCAGGGTGCTTATCAGATATTTTGGTTCTAATGCAGGTCATAGATAGGTCAAAAACCGGCGTTTTTAAAAAAAAATAAACGAAAAATTGGTCGTTCAATAGGCAGATGTTACCACCAACAGTAAAAAAAATCGGGCGATTTTTGTCCCGTTTACGGCCGGCATTTAATTACTTCTGTCCTTGCAGAGAGCTCCGTTATTCTTTTTGACATGAAATAGTATAGCGGTTGCAACATTGTATCTATTTGTATCCATTTCGGATACAGATGTTTTTATTCGGATATAAATAGATACATTGTTGCAACCACAATACTTTTTCATGTCAAATATAATAGCGGACTGGAATTCTTCTTCTTCTTCTTGCAAGTCAGGGCTCATGCGTAGATTTTTTATCGGTAAAAAGATCGGCCGACTTGCCCATCATTGCCGCGAAAATCGGCCGATTGGCAAAATGGGCCGATTTTTTCCAACTTTACTGATAAAAAATGTGCCAAAATCCAGAAAAACAGCCGACCAATTAACCCATTAATGGTGCGAAAATTGGCTGACTTTTTTTTTGGCTGAAAAATTGGCCGATTTTCGGCCCATCTATGGCATGCACAACTTTGCCCTTTGTGTGCTACTGCCTTGAAAATAATTGCTCACAAATAAAGGTGCTGCTGAAAACTGATGACATGATTAAGGCATGATTGTGAAGAGTGGGATGGTTTTTTTTGGGAAGATAAAACTTATGAAAGTCCACTAAAGAGACACTGTTAAAGGATAAGTTCATCTTTCACAGCATGCTACACCCATATTCAGGGTGTAACGTAACATGTTACGATCTGACTGCCCCCTGCACACCCAATTCCACTCTGTGACAGCTAGTGTAGGATTTCCCATTCCTCCACCCCCACTGGCTGTCACAATTAAAAAAAAAAAAAAAACATAGCCATGAAGGGCTCCAGCAGCCCGGCCCCTTCATTCATTCACAGCATTCTGTGAATGGGAAAACTACAGGCTTTGATAACCATTGCGGCTGTCAGCTTGTAGTTTTCAATGAACTACCACATTGCTCTACAGCACCTTGGTAATTCATTGAGCCTTCCTGTCAGCAGTAACTGATTGCCTGTACGGGATGTATGAGTAGACAGATCAGGGGGAGACCTGCATGCCGCCAGCGATCTGTTGATCGCTGGTGCAATGCTTTAGAGACTCCACAAACAAAAATAATACATGCACATTTTGTTACCTGCAAAAAATGTGCATTTATTATTTTTTGTTAAAAGGTGAACTTTTCCTTTACTTTCTCTTTACCTGCATGTGTTCACTAAGTGTAAATACATTTTTTATGAAAAATTAAAAAAAAAAAATCAACAGTTTTAAGTTTACTATTTTGTGTTTGACACCCCTGATCTAAAATGTAAGAATTTTTTTTTTAGTTATACTGTGTGAATGGGAAAGCATAACAAACATAGTTTGGTTTTCTCAAATTCGCCTGCAAAAGTATAAATACCATTTAAATCTATTTTTAATCATGTCTATTCAAAGCAACACTCTTCAAGAAAATGTACTTGCAAAAAAAAAAAAACTTCCCTTTCTATCTGCTGACATTACCAGTTGCCTCTCCATTGAAGGGAAACCTGCTATAGCAGGGGTCTCCAAATTTTCTGCTCAAAAAACCAGGTCAGACTTTGGGGGGGGGGGGGGGGCAAACTGTGGCCGGCAGGAATAGAAATTTTTTTTTTGCATCAATGGAATCAAACAGGGCCCTATCTTTATTATTAGAGGGAGGGATAGTGCCCCATATTTAGTATCAGGGGGAGGAAAAGTGCCCCATTGTTGGTGTCAGTGGGCAGAATAGTATCAGTGTGATGAATAGTGCCTAAGGGCCAGAAAAAGGTAAACAAAGGGCCACATCTTTCCCTCGCCCTGCAGTTTGAAGACCCCTGTTCTAAAGTCTGTTCAGAAACTGACACTTCTAGATGTTTTTGTTCTCCTGGTCCACTGCAGCAATTCACAACTATATCCACTGGTTTCTCCCACTGACCTTCATATCACTACTGTGTCCCGAACCAGTGACCAGGAGATCAACAGTACCGGAAGTGTCATTTTTTCAGCAGACTTTAACGGAACAGTTCTTTTAGAATTTCATTTTTGCAACAAAGTTGCTTTTACAGCTATGACAGCTTGCCCCAAAATCCTAAGAATCAAACAGTGTTTCACTTTTCTCACCAAATCTCCCTGCAGGATGTACAGATCTCCCTTGATTCTTCTCATTCACCAGAGACCTGACCCAGCCACCAGCATAGTTGTCAGTTGTCTAGTATTGTGAAAGACAGTTCTAAACGTTTTATATATGTAAAATGCAGTAAATGAGAATTTTGTTGTTTTGTTACTGTTTGGGATACTAATAAAAGGCTAAAAACATTTTACATGGACATTGCATAGTACTGCTTCTTTTGTTATAAATACTGGATATAATTATGTTTCTGTATGCAACTGTGGCACAGTAACACTTCTGTTGTCCTGTATGATGGGTACAATTCCAAGTATATGTTGTGCTCACAAGGACACTACACGGGTACCACTTCTCTTGCACATGGAAGTAACTGTTACCTATTCTTATTTGCTCAAAGCACTCCAGATGTCCTTTTACATTAGCCCAATCCACAGAGTGATGACACTATTAAAGAAAGCAGAAGAATCATGGATCCACTGGAAGGATCAACAACTAGGTAATAAAACCGTGTTACAGGGGCACATGGAAAAAAAACAAAACTGCAATACAGACTGCAGTATATACAGTATGTCAATTTTGCTTTTTTTTTTCCCTATAGTTCAGGGTAAATCAAGCCAAACTGATATATATGAGGGGTTCCAAGTGTCAGTGGCATAGCATGTGGGGAAGGGGGGGGAGGGTGCAGTCACAACTAACCTTCCTGTCCCTGGTGCTGCAGGACCGGTGAGATTTGGGGGGTATTGTGTGGGTGATGGAGGAGGGGGTTATCTGGGGGTCTGATCAAAGTGGAGGGATGGGGGGATCTGGGGGTATGATCAGAGTGGAGATATCTGGTGGGGAATATGGAGGTGTGATAAGAGTGGAGAGATCTGGGGGGATCTGGAGGTGTGACCAGAGTGGAGGGATGGGGGGATCTCGGGGTATGATCAGAGTGGAGGGATCTGGTGGTGGATTTGGATGTGTGATCAGAGTGGAGGGATGAGGAGGAGATTTTGGGGTGTAATCAGAGTGGAGGGATCCGGAGAGAAGTGATCAGAGTGGAGAGATTTGGAGGTGTGATCAGAATGGAGGGATGTGGGGGGATCTGGAGGTGTGATCAGGTGGGGGGATGGGGGATCTTGGGGTGTGGTCAGAGTGGAGGGATCTGGTGGGGGATCTGGAGGTGTGATCAGAGTGGAGGGATGAGGGGGAGATTTTGGGGTGTAATCAGAGTGGAGGGATCAAGAGAAGTGATCAGAGTGGAGGGATCTGGGGGATCTGAGTGTGTGATCAGAGTGGAGGAATCTTGTGGGGTATTTGGTGGGTGTGATCAGAGTTTGATTTACATCTTCCCACGGCCAGACAGAATCCTATTCTTGATGACAGTTTCTGGACAACACTCCCTCCAGTTAATTTTCCCTCCCTCCTCTTGTGCTTGTTCTCTGGAGGCACTTCACCTTCACACAGGTGTGTACCAGGATACACAAACATTGCAGATGGCCTGAATCACCTACCTGGCACATACACAACACTGTCTCTTTACTATAAAATGGAGATCACTCCCTCTCCCCTCCCTGTCAGCCCATTCGCTTTTGTAGTTCAATGATTTTTATTAGTTTATAAACATTAAAAAAAACAGGAGCAACAAGACACGCCTACGCAGGGGCCATCAATTGCACATAAAAAAATAAAGAAAACAGTGCTCTAACACCAACAGAGCAAAAAGTACACACATGCAGGGGCTATCATTAGCATATAAATGACAAAAACATTGGTATAACATTGACAATAACTCAAACCTAAGGCAGCTATCCACCGCCACACCAAAAAACAAACAGAAATAGAAAACGAAGGAGGAGTACAAAAGGAAAAAGATGACAAGACCATGAGCAGGGGTTCGGGAATGCCAATTCCGAGCAACCTCACAACCCCAGACTAGCTGGGGGGAGCGTGGGAAGGGCATATTTGCAACCATGGCTCCCATATTTTCAAAAATTTCCATTGGGACTCGTTACAAATACTCGACATCTGTTCATTAAGCATCATAGTAGTCCCCTGAAGAGAGGCAAACATGCGCTTCCCTGCCTGAGCAATTGTTCTAGTGGCCGACAAAAACAAATAGGAAGCCAGCTTCCGCTGGTGAGCCAAGAGGCCCAGTATGGGACAATGAAGCAAAGCGTACTGAGCATCCCGGCGTATGGGGAGATGGAACAAGGTAAAAAGGAGGTCAAACACACGAGACCAAAAACCAATCAGTCTCGGGCATGACCACCAGATATGCAATACATCACCACGATGGCCACAACCTCGAAAGCATTGATCACTGCAGGCAGGGTTTGCCTGGGCAAAACGAGCCAGAACCCAATACCAGGGAACAATACTTAGTATGCCACCTTCAGTGTGGTTGTATTAAATGAACAGTTAGCTATAAACAATAAGGCCACCTTCAAGTCCTCCAGATCCATGACTGCCCCCAGGTCGCGTTCCCATTGAGCAACATATGAGAGAGAAGTATGCGTCGAGCGTCTGTTCAAAGCTGCATAAAGAAGGGAAATAAGGCCCAGGGCACTCGGACGCTGTTGGCAAAGCTGTTCAAAGGCAGATTTCCGATACAGGAAAGCAGAGGTGCCTCACAGTGAGGTCAGCCAATGCCATTGAAGGTAACGAAAAAATTCCGCCGGAGGGACATCCCGTGACTCCCAAAGAGAATTCCAAGTGGGGAAGAGCCGAGAAGTCAAAAAATGGCGCACCTGCGAAAAAACCATTGGCCACCCACCAAGAAAACGCCATTGGTTGATCTAAACCTGGTGGGAAGAGAGGGTTGTTAACAATTGGGAG